CTTTTCTATAACAGATCAAGGGTGGCTCCTTGAATTTATCCTTGAGTATTTGTATTGAAAAGTGCCATTTGTGCGTGATTATGCTTTCCAAAGTTTGGTATTGATGGTTGAGTGAAATTGCCCGACACAAAGGGTAGTAGTTCCTCAACCTCGTTCTCAGGGTCTCTCATCTTACCGCCCCCTGGAGCGAGCGAAGAGAGAGGGTCTCTTGTCGCTCGCTCCAGAGGGCGGTAAGATGAGAGAGCCTGGGAACGAGGTCGGTAGTTCCTTCTGCAATTTTCGATTTCTGTTTTAGAGCTTCTTTTCTGTCTTTATATTTCACTTCTCGGAGGGTCTTTTCTACCATTTGCTCCGGTTAGCCTCTCAAGAATAGGCGTGTATTGAAATTTTCAATATTCTCTTCAATGTATTTCACAATAAACCTCACGCAAGCAAAAGGGAGTTTATCAGTAAATTTTATCACTTATTTCATGGTTATTCAAACAAAAACTTACGTTTTCCATGTATCAACATTGCCAAAATCCATTCACGATAAAACAATGGCAAAAAAGCGTTGATCTCTCCCCAAAACCTTGTTTTTGGGCGTCAAAACAACTTTTCGCCATACATTTCCTTCTAGCGACTTGCAATGTTTGCCCCTTGACGATCCCAGAGTTCTTTGCACAAACACAGGTATCCGATTACTCGCAACTCATTTATTCTGGTGACTCTGCCCATCCGGTTTCACTGTACAGTCTGCATCTATGGTGCATGCCTGAAATGGTTGCTCCCAGAGCTCTCGTTTTCCAACCGGTGGTCAAGGGGAACGAAGACTCTGGGAACGAGATTGAATGGCGGACGACAAAAAAGATTTTGCCACCAACCTCATCCCCAGGGCCTTCTCCTCGACGATTTATAACTACGGCCTCTGAACAGACAGTCCAATATGAATTGCGACAATTTTCAGAGACGTATTGTGTTTATATCAAGCTAAAGAATGCTTTAATTTATTGAGACAAAGCTTCGTGAGAAGATAAATGGATTTTGAGCAGAATTGTGGATGATTTCACTTGCCCCAGTTTTATGCTTTCAGTGTTTTGGGTACCTGGGATACCCAAAACACTAGGGATTTGGGTACGGAAATACCCAAAACACAGGGATACCCAAATCATTGTGACACTGCCATTTTGAAGAGTGGAGAAGACCCTGGGAGCGAGGTTTCCTTAATTTGATGTATCCATGGAAACTGCCTTAATTCGTGAACGGGATGGGAAGGTTCGACTTTGTTCGTCAAAACAAGAGAAATCCCACACTGTTTCACTCTATTTTTAAGCTCAAACTTTATTACTCCTGTGTTTCTCCTACCACCGGCACGATTGGAGCGTACCAAAAGTTGTTATAACTGCAAGGAAAAATATTTGACAGTATTATAATTCATTTTTTGAAAAGATCAACCTTAATCAAACTACTCTAACTCAGAACAACGAATTTGGCACTGTCTAGTCTTAAGCAACTTAGTTTACAATTCAACTGATAACAATTTACCTATTTATTTAGGGAGTTCGTTTTTATGTAAGGTTGATCTCTAAACGTCTTTTTCAAGATCGATTTCTTTTGTAAGGCTAAATATTTTCCTTTGGCGTCTTGAATAAGCTGTATGTATGTACACGAAGCATATAGCCAGGATGTTTAAAGGTGCATCTGATCTGTGACTCGTCAAAAATCCCTGATTCTGATTCCACACTTCAAGCTGGTTTTCTGGAGACATAACGCGGACACAGTAAGATGCTGGTAATTAGAGCCATTTGTTGGGAAAATTTCCGGGCAAAGGGAGCCTCTCAACGGCGCCTTCCTGGGTGTGCGTGTGTTGCCTCTGCTTCTGCTTGTGTCGGTAAGTAATCAAAACCAGCCTTTACGCGGCACACATTATATCGACCAATCACCTGACATCAGGCCGCTTTGCCCTACATTATGTGCACAGATGTGCACAAATTATTTCATACCATGCAAGTATTTGGAGAAAGCATGTTCCTTCTCTAAAAGCCTGGCGCAGGATCATTCTCAAAGTCTTCAATTACTTCTTCCTAGAATTTGTATCACAATTGTTTGGACCTATAGTACCATGAGGTCCATGAGACCCACGAAGACCAAAGACATTAGAGGTCAAGAAAAGGACGAAAAAGACCGGTACCAGAAAATGGTGTCACGTCTGCCACGATTTGATGATCTTTTTTAAGACACTATTTACTATTTACTTTGAATGAATGCTATCCTTCTAGTTCAAAGAACGCTCACTTATCACGGAAATCTTATTGGTAAATCACGCATCACATGCTTGTAAAATAGCAAATCACGCATCACGTTATGATGTCCCGTCCCGCATCACGCGGCTAATTTGGTCTCAATCACGCATCACGCCGCTAATTTTGGGGCGATCACGCGTCTCGCAAAAACGGCCCTTTGCCACCCTCTTGAAAGACTTCAAAAGGTCCAGCCCGTTTGAGCGCGGGCTCAGTATTTCCCTATTTTCAAAAGTGTTTTTGTATAAGTTACATCATGCTGTCTACAGTAAAATAAAATGGCGGACTGCTCGTGATTCTCGGGAAGAGCTAATGGCAACTGTGTTTTTTGACTCATGGAACCTCAAGTATCAACTCAGAAAATGATACGAGAGGATGATAAAGATGCAGTCGTGTACAAGATCGTCGAAAAGCTGCAGAACAGCTCGCTTTTCCTGGAAATGAAGGCAGATTTACAGGTGAAACTTCACAGATTATACGAAAAAAAATATTATTAGTAGACGTCAATCTCCGAGCAGCTGTACTGGTCAGAGAAGAAGGAATTAAAAGCTATTGGTCTCTATTACCACTAAGAAAATTAAAAAATACAAGTTGTTGTTTATACCTCTGTTTAGGGGTGAAAGTTAAGCCTAATTTTATCAGCACTTTTCGAACAGTCTGCAGTCTGCCGTCTGCATTTTACCCCTGGTCTGCAGTCTGCATTTTGCCTTCAGTCTTCAGTTTATCCCCAGTCTGCAGTCTGCAATCTGCAATCTGCAGTCTGCAGTCTGCGATCTGCAATCTGCAATCGACAGTTTGCAGTCTGCATTTTACACTGACTACTACTTTTACTAATAAGTATAGTTCTTTTATCCGTTCAGAAAGAAGTTGCAAAACCTCATATTCATGTCACAGACATGAAGAAGAGTGTTGAAAACTATCTAAGGGACTCAGGCTGGGAGATCAAGCTACAGAATGCAGTTTACACTCAACTTAAAAGGTAAGACTTCTCATTAAAGTCAACTCTTGTTATAGCGGACACGCTAGGGAATGTCATTACATGTAAGTGTCTGTAAGAGCAAGACTCCATAATAGCGGGGTGTGAGATAAAAAGTTCCCTGAAACTAACATGCAATAAATAATGTAAGCTCAAGTGAAGAAGCAAGGACTATTCTGCAAACAAAAAAAGAACTGATGTGAAAATAAACAATCCAAAAATCTTTTGAAGTGTATTTTGACAAATGATGAACAGCAGACTGTAATTTTATATAATTATATTATATGAGAAGTACGTGTTGTCTGCTTTATCGAGAGTCAAAACAATAAAATTGTCATTTTGGTACGATGAAAGTATAATTCCATAATAGTGAGTGTGTGTAATCGTGGGGTGTCCGCAGGACAAGAGTTGACTGTATAAGGCTACCTCTGTGAGTGGCAAGATAAACCTTGCTCTGTGATTGGCTAGACAAGTGGGCAAGATATGGCACCATCTTGCCTACTTTGGATTACGCACTATGTCTCACAAGAGAAATTTCCCTGAAACCAACATAATAAATCCTTTAATGACCAAGCTTGTTCAGTCAAGATGGCCGAATATTGGCCTCATTTGTTTCTTGCCTGTTTATAAACCTCACCTCCGTCTTGGCCCATAAACACACTAATCTTTGCCAATATTCAGCCATTTTGACCTCACGCTTGGTTAGTAACCCAATATAAATAAAATTTTGACAGACTCAAGAAACCAGGGTTGTCAAAAGTAGCCAGCTACCAATGGAAAACACCATCTTCGAGATCTGTTGCTGACTATTCATCTGAACACCTTTAGAAAATCACTGATACTTCAACAAAGCTGGCTTAACTTCAGCACAGCTGGCTACTTCAACAAAGCTGGTTACTTCAAAACTTTGTTACAACCCTGAGAAACTCAGGAACACTCCAAAGGCAGACAGATGGGATAGGTCAGCCAACAATATTTCACACTGAATCTTGTCCCTATTCATGGGAGCTAGCTATCCTCCCACACTCTCAAATCACAACTCTTGTTGCATATGCATTAGGGTTTGATAATAAGCAAGGAGAGGGTAGCCTGTGAACGCAGATGTATTTTCGGCTGTCGCTTGTCTCCGCCAAAAATAACGTCTGCGAACCGAGCCAGGAAACAATTTCTGTGATGTAGGAATTTTAAGCCAATCAATGTTTAGCTCAAGTAGCCCCAGAACTACTACGCGAGATATTCGCTGCAAGGAGCACTCGAGTTTCATTCTATCATGGAATCTGATTGGCCAAATAGAAACAAAAGTCATTACGTCACAGAAATCGTTACCTGGCTCG